CAGCAGCAGCAGCAGCATCATCAGCAGCAACAGCATCATCAGCATCATCAGCATCATCAGCATCATCATTATCATTGTCAGCCTTATCATCATCATCAGCATCATCATCATCATCAGCATCATCATCATCATCATCATCATCATCATCATCATCATCATCATCATCATCATCATCATCATCGTCATCATCATCAGCATCATCATCATCATCATCATCATCATCATCATCATCATCATCATCATCATCATCATCATCCTCGTCATCATCAACATCATCAGCATCATCAGCATCATCAGCATCATTATCAGCAGAAGTAGAATCAGCATCATCAGCATCAGCAGCATCATCATCATCATCATCAGCAGCAGCAGCAGCATCATCATCATCATCGTCGAGCTGGCCGACGCGATCGCGGTGGCGACGGCCCGCTGGCTCGGCGAGGCACTGCAGCTGGGGAGCGCCGCCCTCACGGCGGCCGACGGCGCGGACGCGGGCGCGGCGGAATCCACCTGCTGCGGGCGCGGATGCGGGCGACGGGGCGCCGCGCGCTGCCGCGACGGCGGGCCAGGCTGCAGACGCTGGCCCTGCGGTGCGCACGGCACGGCGGTCTCGGACGTGAACGGGACGCGCTGGCTCTGCGACGCTTGCGCGGGCAGATCGGACGGCACGCCCGTCCCAGGTGGGCCGCCTGGGCCCCAGACGGCGGGGCGGAAGCGCCAGACCCCTGGCCAGGAGGCTTATGCGCGGCGCGGCCGCGCGCGGACCACCGAGAGTGCGAGCCGACGAGGTGCCGAGGGCGCGGGAGCCGCTGCCGCAGTCGCGGTGGCAGCAACGGCGCTGGCGGCCCAGGCTCCTGGAGGAGCCCAGCACGCAGACTGCGACGCGGAGGAGAGCGGCGAGGCTGCAGGCGCCGAGGGCGCGCTAGGCGCCGATGCCGCGGGCGCCCGCCCGCGCTGGTGAAACGTGAGCTTCGACGAGACGCACCGCCTCTGGACGATAGGCGAGGGGCCGCGCCGCCTCGTCTTCTGCGCGGTCTGCGGCTGCTACGCGGACGGCGCCCGCGTGGTCTCGCTCCGCGGCCTGTGCGCGGACAGGGCCAGCGCCCGCCAGGCCGCCGCGCTGAGGAGGATGCGGCAAGGGCGGCAATCCAAGCGGGGGGGCGCTGGCGCCGAGCTCGGGAGCGGCCGCCCCGAGCCGCTGAGGCGCCCGCGCAACCGCTCGCGAGGGCGCGGCTCGGAGGCGGGAGGCCCGAGCCGCTGAGCGCTACAGGGCGCCCCCCACCCCCATCCCTCCCATCCTCGGCGGGGCATGCGGGCTCCGTGGGTGTGCACGAAAACGTATAACGGCTGCGCCGAGCAGCGCTCCCAGACCGTCATGGCCTTAACCGATCATCAGCATCCCCATCATCATCCTCCTCCTCCTCCTCCTCCCCCTCCTCCTCCTCCAATTCCTCCTCATCATCATCACCATTATCATCATCAGCATCATCCGCATCATCAGCATCAGCATCAGCATCAGCATCAGCAGCATTATCATCATCAGCAGCAGCATCATCAGCATCATCATCATCATCATCATCACCATCATCATCAGCATCATCATCATCATCAGCATCATCAGCATATTCATTATCATCATCATCATCATCATCATCATCATCAGCAGCAGCAGCAGCAGCATCAACACCAGCATCAACATCATCAGCAGCATCAGCATCAGCATCAGCAATATCATTACCATCAGCAGCAGCAGCACGATCATCATCTCATCATCATCAGCATCATTGCCATCATAGAGCAGCATCATCACAATCATCATCAGCAGCATCAGCATCATCATCAGCATCATCATCATCAGCATCAGCATCATCACCATCATCAGCGGCATCGTCATCATCACCGTCGTCAGCATCACCGTCATCATCATCACCATCATCCGCATCATCATCGTCGTCGGAATCACCATCATCACCAGCACAGTCGCCAGCATCATCATCGTCATAGTCAGCAGTAGCATCATCATCATCAGAATCATCATCATAATCGTCATCAGAAAAGATCACCATCATCACCATCCGTATCAGCATCAGCATCATCATCTTCAGCATCAGCATCATCAACATCGTCGTCATCATCAGCATCATTATCAGCATCATCATCATCAGCATCAGCATCGTCGTCATCACCATCATCATCAGCATCAGCATCAACATCATACTTATCATCAGCAGCATCAGCATCATCTGCATCATCGGCAGCAGCATCAGTACCATCATCAGCATCATCATCATCATCAGCACCAGCATCGGCCGCAGCATCAGCATCAGCATCAGCACCAGCAGCATCATAACCATCGGCAGCAGCAGCATCAGCATCAGCATCAGCATCAGCATCAACATCAGCATCATCAGCATCGTCATCCTCATCATCATCATCGTCGTCGGAATCGCCATCATCACCAGCATCGTCGTCAGCATCATCATCAGCATCATCCTCATCATCATCATCATCCTCATCATCAACATCATAATCATCATCAGCAGCATCAGCATCAGCATCAGCACACGCATCATCATCACCATCAGCAGCAGCAGCATCATAGTCATCAGCAGCAGCATCATTAGCATGAGCATCATCATCATCGTCACCATCATCATCACAATCAGCAGCACCATCATCATCATCATCATCCTCATCATAATCACCATCACCATCACCATCACCATCACCATCATCATCATCATCATCATCATCATCATCATCACCATCATCATCATCATCACAACCATCATCATCATCATCATCATCACCATCATCATCATCACCATCATCATCATCATCATCATCACCATCATCATCATCATCATCATCACCATCATCATCACCATCATCATCATCATCATCACCATCATCATCATCATCATCATCACCATCATCATCATCATCATCATCACCATCACCACCATCATCATCATCACCATCATCATCATCATCATCATCATCATCACCATCATCATCATCATCATCCGCGTCAGCATCGGCAGCAGCATCAGCATCAGCATCAGCATCAGCAGCATCATCACCATCGGCAGCAGCATCAGCATCAGCATCAGCATCAGCATCAACATCAGCATCATCAGCATCGTCATCCTCATCATCATCATCATCGTCGTCGGAATCACCATCATCACCAGCATCGTCGTCAGCATCATCATCAGCATCATCATTATCCTCATCATCAACATCATAATTATCATCAGCAGCATCAGCATCAGCATCAGCACACGCATCATCATCATCATCATCAGCAGCAGCATCATAGTCATCAGCAGCAGCATCATTATATAGCATCAGCATCATCATCATCGTCACCATCATCATCATGATCAGCAGCACCATCATCATCATCCTCATCATAATCACCATCACCATCACCATCACCATCACCATCACCATCATCATCATCATCATCATCATCATCACCATCATCATCATCATCACCACCATCATCATCATCATCATCACCATCATCATCATCACCATCATCATCATCATCACCATCATCATCATCACCATCATCATCATCATCATCATAATCATCATAATCATCATCACCATCACCATCATCATCATCACATCATCATCACCATCATCATCATTATCATCATCATCATCATATCCATCATCCCCATCATCATCATCTCATCATCATCACCATTTCATCATCATCATTTCATCATCATCACATTCACCATCATCATCATCATCATCATCACTCATCATCATCATCATCATCAGCATCATCATCATCATCATCATTCATCACATCATTCATCATCATCATCATCAATCACATCATCATCATCATCATCATCATCATCATCACCATCAACCATCATCATCATCACCATCATCATCATCATCACCATCATTCATCATCACCACATCATCATCATTCCATCATCATCACCATGATCATCATCACCATCATCATCACCATCATCATCATCATCATCATCTCATCATCACATCATCATCATCACCATCATCAATCATCATCATCATCATCACCACCATCCCTCATACCATCACCTCACCCCGTCACCCCCCCATCACCATCATTCATCATCATCATCACCATCATCATCATCATCCATCATCATCACCATCATCACTCACCATCACCCTCACCATCATTCATATCAATCATCATCATCATCATCATCCCATCATCATCATCATCACCATTCATCATCATCATCATCATCACCATCATCATCATCATCATCATCACGATCATCATCATCATCATCACCATCATCATCACCATCATCATCATCACCATCTCATCATCATCACCATCATCATCATCATCACCATCATCATCATCACATCATCATCATCATCACCACCATCATCATCATCACCATCCTCATCATCATAATCATCATCATCATCAATCATCATCATCATCACCATCATCATCATCATCATCATCACCATCATCATCATCATCATCATCACCATCACCATCACCATCATCATCATAATCATCATCATCCCCATCATCACCATCATCACCATCATCACCATCATCATCATCATCACCATCATCATCATCACCATCATCATCATCATCATCAGCATCACCATCATCATCATCATCATCATCATCATCATCATCATCACCATCACCATCATCACCATCATCACCATCATCATCATCATCACCATCATCATCATCATCATCACCATCATCATCATCATCATCACCATCATCATCATCATCACCATCATCATCATCATCACCATCATCATCATCATCATCATCATCGTCACCATCATCATCATCATCATCATCATCATCATCATCACCATCATCATCATCATCATCATCATCATCATCATCATCCGCCTCAGCGTCCGTATATTCCTTCTCCGCCTCATCATCCATCCACCCCTGCCATCCTTCCGCCCTCCGCCCTCCAGGAACCTGCCGCGCGTTCGGGGAAGAGCACCGCCGCGCTTCGTACCGCGCCGCACCCCTGGCAGGCTGGCAGCGCGTTCCAGGTGATGGAGCCGCAGGCGCGGCACCTGAGCCGAAGGAGCACGGAGAGACCCTGGCCACGCCTCCCCCCTCCTCACACTTCTCTTCCTCCTCCTCCTCATCCTCCTCTTCCTCCTCCTCCCCCTCGCCCTCCCCCTCCCCCCATCCGTTTCCTCCTCCTGCTCTCCCTGATCCTTTACCTCCTCCTTTTCCTCATCATCCTCCTTATCCTCCTCTTCCTCCTCCTTCTCCTAAGTAACTTCTCCTCCTTCTCCTCACCATCAACATCAGCAGAATCAGCAGTACCACCATAAGCATCAATCTCAACATCATCAACGTCAGTAGCACCATCATCAGCAGCATCAACATCAGCAGCATCATCATCATCGTCGTCGCCGCCGCTATGAAGAACAACAACAACGACCACAACAACAAAAGCAACAACAACAGCAACGACAACAACAATTGAGAGAACGCGATTCACGGGCGCTTGCCTTGGGAATATTCGGCGGCGCGTTTCGAACCGGGGGGTGGGCCACCCCCCCCAACACTCGGCGCCGTCGATCAAAACCAGGGGGACTCCCCTCCCCCCAAATCCCCCCCCTCCCGAACCCCCCCCATCCCAAGGGGGGGGGGATTGAACACACACACCCTACTGCGCCGGCGCCGGCGGCCGCCAGCAGCGCCGACGGCGGGGACGCAGCGACGATGACCAGAGGCAGCCCACCACCACCACCGCCTCAACCCACCACCACCACCACCAACCCACCACACAACCACCACCACCACCACAATAGCCACCACCACCACCACAACCACCACCACCACAACTCACCATGACCACCACCACCACCACCACAAAAACCAACCACCACTACCACCACCACCAATTTTCCACGCCACCACCACCGCCACAACAACCACCACCACCGCCACAACAACACACCACCACCACAAACCACCACACCACCACCACACACCACACCACCACCACACCACACCAACACCACCAAACCACCACCACCACAACCACCACCACCACCACCACAAACCACCACACCACCACCAAACCACCACCCACCACCACCACCACCACTCACCACAACAATCACCACCACCACAACAAACCACCACACACACCACCACCACCACAACCACCACCACCGCCACCACCACCACCACAACCCACCACCACCACCACCGTCGTCCTCGTCGACACTCCCCGCCACCGCCGCCCGCCGCCGCAGGGACTGGCGCCGGCCCGAGGGAAGGAGAGAGGAGAAGTAGGGAAGGGGCGAGGGAGTTCGAACCCCCCCCCCCCCCCCTGTCACGGGGGGGGGGGAGGGGGGGGTTCGAATCTCCCCCCTCCATCCAGGGGGGGGGTCTGGTTCCACCACCACCCCCGCTCGCGCTCTTTCCAACAACTACAGCTATAACTACTACAACAACAAGCAACAACAACAACAACAACAACAACAATCATTTAAGACTGGGGACACTCCGTTCTCACCAGTGCCAGGGTTCCACAACAACAACATCATCAACAACAACAACAACGACAACAACAACAACAACAACGACAACGACAACGACAACGACAACGACGACGACGACGACAACAACAACAGCAACAGCAACAACAACAACAACAACAACAACAACAACAACAACAACAACAACAACTACTACTACTACTACTACTACTACTGCTACTACTACAATAACAACAACAACATCAACAACAACCATTTTAAGGCTGTACGCTCTTACTTGCCCGCGAGTCATTCAACACGTAAACCCTACACCCTCAATACCCGCCCTCTTCGTCTTCGATCACACCCCTTTCGGGGGGATTATTTCTCTTTGCTGGGGCCGGCGGGCTTAGACGTACGGGCAAACCGGGACGGGCGGATAACCCTTCGGGGGCGTACATCTCTCTGCCCGCCATTGGAATTGGCGCGGGCCCTGCAAGAGGAGGAGGGGAAGAACGAGGGAGAGTGGGAGGAAGGGGAGGGGGAAGGACGAAGGAAGAGGGAAGATACCACGTTGTGAAGGCGTCCTTGGCGCGTGCGTGGTTCCTGAGCGCCGAAACGCAATTCCAGAATAATTTGTGAGGACGTCGCACGCGAGAGCGCAGTCCTGAGTACATTGTGAGGAAATCTCAGGCGGAAGCGGGGGCCCTGACTAAGTTGCGAGGAAGTCTCAAGCGGGAGCGCCGTTCCTGAGCAAATTGCACGGAAGTCTCAGGCGGGAGCGGGGGTCCTCACTAAATTGCGAGGAAGTCTCAGGCGGGAGCGCCGTTCCTGAGTCAATTGCGCGGAAATGTCAAGCAGGAGCGGGGGTCTTGAGTAAAATTCGAAGAAGTCTCAGGCGGGAGCGCCGTTCCCACGTAAATTGCACGGAAGTCTCAGGCGGGAGCGGGGGTCTTGATTACATTGCGAGGAAGTCTCAAACGGGAGCGCCTTTCCTGAGTAAATTGCGCGGAAGTCTCAGGCGGGAGCGGGGGTCCTGAGTAAAAATCGAGGAAGTCTCAGGCGGGAGCCGTTGTTGTTGTAGCCCGGGGGGCAGGGGCACAGTTTGAGCAGGAAGACTTTCCTTGAGAAAAAACAAGGTGCGAGCCCCGGGGGTGGCACTTCAATCGAAAAAATCAATGTGCACCGGTGGTGGGGATCAACAATGATTATTCTTCAAGAGTGAGAGTTCAACAACAACAACAACAACAACAACAACAACAACAACAACAACGACCACCACAACAACAAGACGATTCAGACTGCTCGTTCCTATCTGTTCGCGTGCCATTCAACACGTAAATCCCAAACCCTTGGTACCCGCCCTCTTCGTTTTCGATCGTACCCCCTCGGGGGTGCATATCTTCCTTACCTGCCACGTGCATTCAGCGCAGACCCCTTGGGAGTCTTACCTGCAGAGAGGACGGATGGAAGGGGCAGGGAGAAGGATGGAGCACGGGACTAGCAGAAGGGGGCTGGGAGCCAAAAAAACGCGGCAGAACCAAACGGGCAGATCGGGCGGGCAAACCCCAGCGGGCGGGTCGGAAAGACGGGCCCAGGCGGCCAGGTCGAGAAGGCGGGTTGCTGAAGCGTGAACCTTGCATGAATCGCGGGGAAGTCTCGAGCGATACCGCGATCCCGGAGGAAACCGAGAAAAAAACCAAAAAGAAAGCGTAAATCCTGAGTGTCGAGTGCGCGGCGCCTGACTGAATTGCGAGGAAGTCCCACGTGAAAGCGCGATTGCTGCCTCCATAAATTGTGAGGAGCTCCTGCGCGAGAGCTCGGTCTCCGAATCAGTTGTCAGGAAGCATCAGGCGGGAGCCGTTGTTGTTGTAGTTCGGAGGCCCACAATGCAGTTTGAGCACGAAGATCTTCCCTGGTAAAGAACATGGTGCGAGCCCCGAGGGGGCACTTCAATTGAATCACACAAGGTGCGCCAGTGAGGGGGGATCAACAGCAATTCCTTCAAGAGTGAACGTTCTACAACATAAAACAACAGCAGCAACAAAAACAACCACAACCACAACCACAACCACAACCACAACCACAACCACAACAACAACACTCGTTTAAAGATTGGTCGCTCGTATCTGTTCGCGTGCCATCCAACGCGTATATCCCAAACACTTGGACCCACCCTCTTCATCTTCGATCGTATCCCCTTCGGGGTGTATATCTTTCGTACCTGCAACCTATCTCGTGCAGCCCCAGAAGGCAGGGGAAAAGAGGACGGATGGAAGGAAGGGACAGGGGGGAGGGAGGAGGAGGATGGAGCACGAGAGAAAGAGAGTAGCAGGAGGGGGGCTAGGAGCAGAAAAAACGCTGCAAAACCAGACGGGCAGATCGGGCGGGTAAACCCTGACAGGCGGGTCGACAAGGCGGGCCCAGGAGGCCAGGTCGAGCAGGCGGGTTGCTGAAGCGTGCATCCTACATGAATCGAAAGGAAGTCTCGAGCGACAGCGCGACTCCCAAATAGATCGTAAGGAGATCCAGAACGAGAGCGTGATTCCTGAGTGTCGAGGGCGCGGCGTTTGAATAAATTGCGAGGAAGGCCATTCGAGAGCGCGATGTCTGCATACATTGTGACGGAGTCCAGCGCGAGAACGCGATTTGGGAATAAATTGAAGAAGTATCACGCGGGAGCCGTTGTAAACCGGGGGCCAAGAACCCAATGTGGTGACACTTCGCTCTCCCTTGTAGAGCAAAAACAGAGTGCGAGCCCTGGGAGAACCTCCTCCTCCTCCTCCTCCTCCTCCTCCTCCTCCTCCTCCTCCTCCACCTCCACCCCCCTCGCAATGACGACGACAACGACGCCGACAACCACGACGACGGCGGCGGTGACGACAACGTCTGCAACGACGGCAGCGACGACGCTGACGCCAGCGGCGACGCCAGCGGCGGCGGCGGCGGCAACGACGACGACGACGACAGCGACGACGACGACGACGACGACGACGACGACGACGATGACGACGACGACGGCGACGACGACGACGACCCCGCGCGAGGCCAGGCGCGGCGCTCCCAAGAGCCCTCGGTGCTGCCGCTGCCCTGGTCGCCGCCCGGCGCCGGGCCGGCTTCTGGCAGGACGAGGTCGCAGAGCCTCGGCGGCGGCCAGCGCCAGCCACCGCGCCGAAGCCGACGCCGACGGCGGCGGCGACGGCAGAAGAGACGGCGACGAAGACGGCGGCGACGGAAGTGACGGCGGCGGCGACGACGGCAACGGCGAGGACGGCGGCGGCGAAGGCAGAAACGACGACGGCAGGAGACGAAGTCGCACAACATGGCTGTTGAGACGACGACGACGACGACGACGACGACGACGACGACGACAACAGAGGCAGCGACGACGATGGAAACGACGTCGACTGCGATATCGGCTACGACGACGGCTAACGCTAGCGAGTGAGAAAGCGTTAAATCCAGTCAACGCCTCATCCTCCTCACCACCACGACAATCAGCATCAGCATCATCAGCATCAGCAGCAGCAGCAGCATCATCATCAGCAGCAGCAAATCCGCATCATCATCATCATCATCATCATGACCACCACCACCACCATCATCATCATCATCATCATCATCATCATCATCATCATCATCATAATCAGCATCAGCATCAGCATCAGCATCAGCATCTTCATCATCATCAGCAGCAGTATCATCACCATCACCATCATCATCATCATCACCATCATCAGCATCATCAGCTTCATCATCGTTACCATCATCATCACCATCACCATCATCATCACCAGGGTCATCATCATCCTCATCATCATCACCATCACCAGCATCATCACCATCACCATCACCATCATCATCAGCATCATCATCATCAGCAGCAGCAGCATCATCAGCAGCATCGGCATCATCATCACCATCAATATCACCACAATCACTATCACCACCATAAACAGCACCACCACCACCACCCCCTACCATCATCATCATCATCATCATCATCATCATCATCATCATCAGTAGCAGCAGCATCAGCTGCAGCAGCAGCATCATCAGCATCATCAGCATCATCAGCATCAGCATCAGCATCATCATCACCATCATCAGCATCACCACCATTATCACGATCATCAGCAACATCCTCACCATCGTCATCCTTGTAATCGTCATCATAAGCATCATCATCACCAGCAAGATCAGAATCATTATCAGCATCATCGGCAGCATCATTATCACCGTTGGCATCATAATCCTCAGCCTCATTAACAACAACAGCATCACCATCAGCATCAGCATAACATTATCATCCTGATCAGCATACCCATCCCAATCATCATCATCATCCTCATCATCATCATCACCATCACCACTTCCATCGCCATCATCATCAGCATCATCAGCAGCAGCATCCTCCTCATCATCATCCGCATCCACATCCTCCTCATCATCACCTCACCGTCGTCGTCATCATCAACATCAGCATGATCATCAGCATGATCATCGTCGTCATGATCGCCAAACATCGGCGTGATAGCTATTGCCATCAGCAGCAGCATCATCATCAGCATCATCAACTTCATCATCATCGTCGTCGTCGTCCCCCTTCCCCTCCTGACCCTCCTCGGTCTTCCCCCCGAGCCGTCCTGCCCATCACCATCAAAATCCTCAGGACCACCTTCGGAATCCTCACCGCTCACCGTCACCGTCAGCGTCATCGGCATCGTCAACCTCCCCATCCAGCTCCACCCGCCTCCCCTCCTCCACTCGGGCACGGCCACAGCTCGTGCCTCGAGCGGCCGCTCGCGACCACTCCCGGCATCCACGGAACGCTCTCGACGCAGCGCACCTCATGGAACGCGCCCCGGGTGTCAGAGACCTGCCTACAAACCTCCCGAGGACCTCCCGAAGGCCCGCGTGCTCCTCCCCATCCCTGGTGCTCGTCCTCGGTGCTCCCCCCTGCCCCGTCCTCGTCGTCCTGCTCACCTTCGGCGCTCCCCATCGGTGCGCACCGGGAGAGCGAGCGAAGGACAGTAGGAGTGCCGATCCCCGCCGGGCCTGGTCAGCGCCGCCAGCAGGAGCCGCTTGGCGCGGCCGATGGTACGCAGCTGCTTGTTGTCCCTGTGGAGCTCCTGCTCCACCTCCTGTCCTCGGGTCGACCGCCATCCTCCTCGTCACCCTCCTTCTCGCCCTCCTCCTCCTTCTCCTGCTGCCCCTCCTCCTGCTGCTGCTGACCGTCCTCCTCCTCCTCCTCCTCCTCCTCCTCCTCCTCCTCCTCCTCGTCCTCCTCCTCCTCCTCCTCCTCCTCTAATTATCGGTTTCAGGCATCATCAGCAGCAGCAGTATCATCAACACCACCACCACCACCACCACCCCCACACCACCACCATCATAATCGTCATCGTCACCATCATCAGCAGCATCATCCTCATCAGCAGCAGCAATTCCATCATCATCGTCATCATCAACAACAACATCATTATCATCATCATCATCACCACCACCAGCACCATCATCATCATCATCAGCATCATCATCATCATCATAATCATCATCATCAGCATCATCATCAAGAATATCATCAGCATCATCGTCGTCACCGTCATCGTCGCAATCGTCATCGTCATCGCCATCGTCATCATCGTTATCATCATCAGCAACACTCTCATCATAACCATTATCGGCATCAGCAGCATCATCATCATCATCATCATCATCATCATCATCATCATCATCATCATCATCATCATCATCATCATCATCATCATCATGTTCATCATCATAACCATCACAATGAGCATCGTCGCTAACATCCTCGACATCCTCACCAGCATCAGCATGACCATCATCGTCAACAACAACAATACCATCGTCATCGTAGTCAGCATCCGCATCATCAGCAGCATCATCATCAGCATTATCAGCATGATCTTCATCGTCATCATCATCAGCATCATCAGCATCACCATCAGAATCATCATCATCAGCATCATCAGCATCACCATCAGAATCATCAGCAGCAGCATCATCAGCATTATCATCATCCAACTCGTGCTCATCCACCGCATCCTTGCCATCATCCCCAAACTTCCCCTCCTACTACTACTCATACTTGTGATGTGCCTCAGATCGTCACCATCATCATCAACAGCATCGTCATCATCATCATCATCATCATCATCATCATCATCATCATCATCATCATCATAATCAGCATCATCAGCATCATCATCATCATCATCATCATCATCATCATCATCATCATCATCATCATCATCATCATCAGTATCATCATCATCATCATCATCATCATCATCATCATCAGCGTCACCAGATCATCACCATCATCAGCATAAGCAATATCACCATCATCAACAATATCAGCATCATCATCAGCATCATCAACATCATCATCAGTATCATCGTCGGCACCATCGTCGTCAGCAGCAGCATCATCAGCAGCAGCATCAGAACCATCATCAGCATCGTCAGCATCATCATCAGCAGCAGCATCATCACTATCGCCATCATCGTCATTTATATAATCATCACCAGCAGCAGCATCATCAGCAGCAGCATCACTATTATCCTGCAATCCTCTTCGGCCTCCTCCTCATCATCCTACGCCTCCTCGGCATCGCCATTGTCAGCATCATTGTTATCACCAACGTCGTCGTCAGCACCGTCGGCGTCCTCAGCATCGACGTTGTCGTCGTCATCGCCCCGCTCCGCCTCATAGCCTTGCAGGAGAGCGAGCGACCGGCGGCGCCGGCCCGAGAGCACGCTTCCCCTGCAGACCTCCCTGTCCATCTCCCACCTGCTCCTCCCCCTCCTCCTCCTCCTCCTCCTCCTCCTCCTCCTCCTCCTCCTCCTCCTCCTGATCCTCCTCCTCCTCCTCCTCCTCCTCCTCCTCCTCCTCCTCCTCCTCCTCCTCCTGGGCGGGCGTCCATCTGACAGGCGGTACCTGACCGTGACCCAGTTGCCGCTCTCCTTCGCGACGCGCGCCCGCAGCCACGCCTGCTCCCGCGGGCTCCACACCTCTCGCGGCCGCGGCACTTTTCGTCCTCGTCGCCGCCGCCGCGGGCGCCGTTTTCCCGTCGACAGCGCCGGCGCCCGCGACAGCGTCATCTGGCCATCGCTCGGACGTCCATTCCCTGTCCTTTTTTCGGTTTCGCGCGTGGTCTTTTCGCCACGTGATCCAGGATGCTCCTCGATGGCCCTCGCCGAAGGAAAAATGCACACGTCCGAGCGATGCCAAGTCATCTGCGCCAGCCAGCCGCCGCCCCTGGCCGCCCTCGTCGTCGCTGCGGGGTGCGCGCGGCGGGGCAGGGCCGGTCCGATGGGGGACGGCCTGCGCCGCCAGAGGCGGCGCTGCAGGATCGAGCTCGGCTCGGGCCGGGCACGTCCTCCCACAAGCGGGTTTTTGGCCGAAGAAGGAAGAGTTGCCCAAAAAAATGCACAAATTGCCGAAACAAATCGTCCCGAGGCTATTATTCCTGTGTTTGAAGGCTCCTCCTGTCGAAGGACACGCCATGCCCGACTGAAGGCTCAGGCGGGCCCTGCCCCGCGAGTCCCGCGCAGCCCGTGCGCAGGCCGCTGCCGGCCGTGGGCCCTTCGCGCGCGGGGCGGCGGTCAAGAAGGGCGGTCCTCTCGTCGATCGGCGCCCCAAAGGCCCCACGCGGCCGCCGATCGGTGGCTCCGTGGCCCTCTCGAGTCCTGAAGAGATCATGACGGGAGGTTTTTCGCCGTTTTCGGCCTCTGGGGGCCCTGACCGGGCCGCGGGACCCTCAACAAAACGACTCGGGATGACAAGCCGGTCCTGGGGAACAGGTCGAAACCTCTGGGGGTCGACGTCATGAAAAAATTATGGCGTCGGGGGTTTGGGTCCGTGGCCCCATCGCCCCATGCAGCCCTCGTGCTACGAGAAGGAAACCCGAAGAAGGAGCGAGACGCAGCCGTTCTGGCCACAGCGAGCCAGGGCCAGGAATGGCGTCCCCGACCCAGATCTAAGACACGAGGCCGGAAACTGAAGCCCTTCTTCGGCCCAGCGTGGTCCTTGTTTCGGCATCTTGGCTGCGACTCGAAGAAGACAGACAAACCAGCATAAACGTAAACGGTTGGCGCTCCGCGCGGTTTGCTTGAACCCGCGCTGGCCCCCCCCCCCCCTGGCGGCGCCTCTGGCGCTGCCCCTGGCGCGCTCCGCGCGCCAGGGAGGGGGGTCTGGCGCAGCTCCCAGACATCCGCGCGGAGCGCCCAAAGTTTATGGTTGTGGCGTTTTTTCTTCTTCGACTGTAAGCTGTCGTGGCCCTTCATGCGGGGCGGGGCTCACTCGAGGCCCCCATGCCTCGGAGGAGGAAAGAATCTCATCGGGCGGGCAGGTGGTGCTGCGGGGGGGGGGGGGGGGGGGCCTTCTCCTGCGCGTGGGGAAGGGGAGGCGCCACCCGCCCGCTTCGCCCGGTGATCCCCCTCCAGACCTCAGCCCAGGCGCCTCCGTCACGTGCTGATCCTCCTCCTCCTTCTCCTCCTCCTCCTCCTCCTCGTCCTCGTCCTCCTCCTCCTCCTCCTCCTCCTCCTCCTCCTCCTCCTCCTCCTCCTCCTCCTCCTCCTCCTCCTCCGTGCAGTCCTCCTGTTCGCTCTCGTGGCCCTCGTGCGCGGGGCGGGGGGTGGTGCCGCCGCTCTGGGCGGGGCTCCAAAGGGGCCGCTGCTGTCGCTCGTGTGGCCCCGTGGCCCCAGGTGGCCCATCGGCCTGCGGGGTTTAAGCTTAAGTCGGGCCTGTCCCTCTACAGGAGGAACATTCAAACATAACTTTTGAAATAGATGGCGACGATGTTTCGACTATCTTTGGACTACTTTTGAAGATTGTTTGACTGCGTTCTGTTGTTCTTCCAAAATCCGCCTGTAGGGGGACATGCGCGACCTCAGGTTAAGCCTCAAGAGGCGATTCGAGTGCCCGCGGCACCGTGTCCCCGCGCGGCCAGCATGCGGCCGGCGCGGTCCAAGAGTCGATTCGGACGCGCGGGGCCAGGTGGCTCCCTCAGGGCCAATGCGAGCGGGATGGGGGGCTCAAGAGGCGATGCCATTAATACTGGCCCCGATTTTTTGGGGGGTGGAGCGGCGCCGGTTCCTTCACCCAGGCGATGCACACACCTCGGCCCGCGAGTACGCCGCGAAGCGCGGGCTCGCCGAATTACGGCGGGCAGGGCGTACGGGACACCCACCATGTCCCGCCACGACAGAGAAAGAGGAAGACACGCGGCCGGGGAGGACATCAGCGGCGGCCAGGGAGGAGGGTCAGAAGTCGGCGTCGCTGTCCTTCTCACTGTCGCTATCCGCGTCGGCCTCCCAGGCACCGTGCCCCCCGCTCAGGCTCAGCTGCCTCCTCCTGTAGGCTCCCAGCGCGATGGCGGGCCCCACCGTGAGCAGCACCACGAGGAAGGCAACGGGCGCTCGCCCCATGGCCCCCAGCCAGCTGCTCGCCTCCGGCGGCCCGTCGGGAGCGCCGGCGCTCGCCGACTGGTTGGCTGCCGCGGCCTCTCCCAGCAGCCTCGCGGGGGCCTCTGCGAGACCGCCCGCCATGGGCGCCCCTACGCCTCGGCCGCCGCCCGCCCGGCCGCGGCCCCCATGGCGCCCCCGCGACGGGCCCGCTCGAGCCAGTTGAAGGGGCCCCGGGACACACGAATAAATGCACACAGATAACAGGATTCCCCACATTTTCATATATATATATATATATATATATATATATGTTCTTGGTTTTTGTCTCCCCCCCCCACTTTCCCATAGTTTCCCATATTCTCCTGGGAATCGACGATTCATTGTGTCTGTGCTTTTTCCCCTCCTGACGAGTGGCCGGTGGCCCCCGCGGCAGGGCAGGGAGAGCCAGAAGCCGCCGGGGCCGACGGCGGGCCGCGGGGCGGGGGCCGAGCCACGGGGGGCACGCGTAGGGGCCACCCGGGCTGCCACACCCTCGAGCGCCGCCGGGCCCCTCACCACTTGCGGACCCAGGGGCCACCACGTCTCACGCTGGTACGCGTGCATCGGGTCGGGCGAAAGGGGGGGATAGCAAAGGGGGGGGGTGAGAATCAGCTCACGTAGCTGATTTTCCTGGCGCCTCCCGGCGCCGGAAGCGGCTATATATCGAGGAATGGGCCCCTCGGCGAGGCCGAAACCAGCTGCATGCAGCCAATTTCGTAACCCCCCCTTTCCCGATCCCCCCCTTTCGCCCGGCCCGAGTGCAGACCCGAGGGTCTCGCGCTCCTCTCCCAGTTCACAAATGCCGTGGGAAGCTCGATCCGCTGCCGGCGGGGCTCCCTCCAAGCGAGCGCTTTCTGCGTCGACGTCTCGACCTTGGGCGGAAAGGGGGGGGGAGGGAGGGGGGTCTGGCTCCAGATCCCTGATTCACGCGCCTGTGTGCAGCAGTGCGTCCTATGGGGGAGACTCCACCTGCGCGAAGCAGGCGCCCAAAACAGCCAAGACCTACTCCATTGGGTGGGGAGGGGGGAGGTGCAAGGGCCCGCGCCGATCGGCAAAACAATGAGTAAGAAAAACGTTCATCACCTAAAGCGGCGAGGCGGCGAGATCCGCACCAGCGCAACAGCCAGGCAGGGGCACTAACTGGCGAATTGGCCGGCGTGCAAGGCGGGAGGGGGGAGGCCGACGAGGAAGGAGGGACGCTCAGACGCCGAAGAACTCGACAGTGAGCAGCCGGCGGGCGGCAGCAGCCAGGCGCGCCGGGCCAGAGCGCGGTGGGCGACCGTGGCGAACCACGGGGGCCCGGTTGGCGTGGAGTGGCAGCCAGTGGCAGCCAATACACACACACAGGGCAACTAGTTGTTCTGACTGGCCACATATGCCCGCAGCTCCCAGTGCCCCCCCCCAAAAAATGCCGGCAGAGGGGGGCAGACCCTCGGCAAAAAGGGCCCGGCTCACCAGCGCTCCCTGGGAGCTGCTCTAGCGGCCTGGGGGCCCAAGCGAGGGGGCCCTCGAGAGACGGCGCTCGGGAAGTGCCGCCGACCCTTTTACAAAATGATCAGCAATACAAAGGGGGACCTAAGTTAGGAGGGCCGGAAGCAGTAGAGAGAAGGGGGTCTGTTCTGCAGACGTATCGAACCAGACCGCCCAGAACTATCATCCCTAATGCAGAAACGGGGACCTCAGTGAGGCTGCGTCTTCATAGCGTCATTAGGGTCAGGGGTTCTTTGGACCTCGATGACAAAAGGCGCCCGTCGCCAAGACCTCAGCGCAGCGAGCTCCAAGCTCTGGGGCAGCCGGCGTCGCGCCCCGCGCGGCGCGGAGCACGAGGCGCGGCCACCCCGCGCGGCGCGCCCCGCCCCCCAGACCCTGGAGAGGCCCGGCCCCCGAAGTGCCTTCACAGACGCCCCGTATCCGCGGGGGCGCGGGGGCGGACATGTTCTCGCCCAGGACGCTTGCGCGACAGCCGCGACCCCGAACCCGCGAAAAACACGGCAGCCCACGTCGGACACACCTTGACACCTCTCTGCCTCTGTCGCGGTACATCTGCGGAGCAGGAGCCACGTCTACATCGCAGAGCGGGGGGGGGCAGCTGGGAGGGCGCACTTGACAAACTGGTGCCCCGGTGTGGGGCCGCCGCGAGTGCCGCGGCGACCTCCCAAACCGACCCGGAGGTTCAGCTCCGGGCCGGATAAACTACGCAACGAGCAGCGGCCCGCGGGCTCCAGCTTGGCGCCCCCCCCGCGCACAGACTGAGGGGCAACCTCCTTGGGGGGGAGCTGGCTCGTGGAGGGGGGAGGGGGGTAAAACAACGACCTAGAACCGGCGATGCGTCGTCGATGGATCGGCGATCGCCCTCCAATAGCGAACACGCACGCTCCTGGGCGGGGTCGGCCACCCAAGGATACCAAAAGGCACCGATACCGCCACTCCCCTGACCTCTCCCGGGGCGCGCTCTGACCAGGATCTCGAGGCGGATCCAGCGGTGCCGACGAGAGCCTCCCCGGAGCCCCAAGAGACGACAACGAGGGAGGAGGAGGAGGAGGAGGAGGAGGAGGAGGAGGAGGAGGAGGAGGAGAAGGAGGAGGAGGAGGAGGAGGAGGAGGAGGAGGAGGGGTGGCAGTCTCAGCACCTTTCCCTCCTCCGAGCTCTGGGAGCGGCGTCGGCCACGGGGCCCCCTTGTCGGCGATCGGTGGGCGACCGGGTGCCGCGGCAGCCCCCCGTAACGTTGCCGCCGCGCCAGCCCGAGGGGCGCGCTCGCAGAGGGGGCCGTCCGCGGCGAGGGGAGCCTCGCTGGCGAGAAGCGCGCGGCCGACCCTCACGGAGAGGCCGCTGCGGCGAGGGAGGGGGGGGGACGTGAGAAGGAGAGGGCCTTCTCAGAAAGCGGCGGGACTTCTCAGAAGCCCTCGCGCCTTCTGGTGTGTTTGTTTTGTTTTCGGGGAAGGCTTAGAAAACTTCTCAGAAGGCCTCGGGACCTCCGATCCTTCTGAGGAGGCCTTCTCCCTCTCACTTCCCCCCCTCGCTCGCCGCCGAAGTGCAACTCTAGCTGCAAATGGCCTGGGCTCGCCGCGGGGGATTTCTACGACCCACCACGTCGAGGCAAGAGGCGCTGCAACAAAGTGCCTCTGGCCTTCGAGGATGGAAGGAGGTGTCATCTACGCGCCGCGGGGGATTTACGATCCACTACGTCGGGGCACTGACTGGGACTGCGCACGCGTGGCGCAAGGCTGCCTGGCGCTTCTGCTTTGGCGCGCCGGCGCGAGCATAGCCTCGCACGTTTCACTGCCAATGCACCCTGGACGTGCACGGCTTGCTCTCTCTCTCTCTCTCTCTCTCTCTCTCTCTCTACGTCGGGGCAGAAGGCGCTCCAAAAAGGGGCCTTGTGCCTTCGAAGATCCAAGGAGTTGTCCCCGTCGTCTCTTCCTCTGCGGAGATGGCTGGCGGAGGGGCGGCGCGGAGGGTCGGCGGAAATCGGAACGAGGCCGCCTCCGCTGAGGCGGGCGGAAGCCGACGGAAGCTCGGCGAAGGGCGGCGGAAGGAAAAGATGGGTCCCCGAGAGATGCAAACGTTTTTGTTGGCTCAGGGTTTACGAGATCGTGTGCGTGTTTTCGGACGTCTGCGAGCAGGCACTCTGCGAGCAGTGTGGAGCGCACTCGGCGACGCACAGCACCCTGGGAGAGCGATGCAGCTTTCGCGCGCGGTCCGCCTCCCCGCATCCCTCATCTTCAGTGTTCCCGCGAGGCGCCGCGCGGTCCGGTCTGCCGCCGTTGGCCGCGGCCGTTTCCCAACACTGAGATCGGGGGTCGGGGGGGGGGAGGCCAGGAGACAGACTTGAATTTCTCGGCGACAGGAGGAGGAGGAGGAGGAGGAGGAGGAGGAGGTAGGAGGAGGAGGAGGAGGAGGAGGAGGAGGAGGAGGGGGAGGGGGAGGAGGAGGAGAGAGGAGGAGGAGGGAGGAGGAGGAGGAGGAGGAGGAGGAGGAGGAGGACGACGACGACAACGAGGGAGGAG